TCCCCATTTTGTCACTTGAAATATCTTTGTTTCTCTCTCTGATCTCTGAATTTTAGCATTTACACTTCCTCTGTTTCCAAACTCTGAATTTTTAATCCTCAGTTGCTGGGCATTTAAGAACCGACCCAGAATTCAGTTTGCTCCTGTTCCACAGCCCATGGCTCTGTCCCTCAGGGCCTCAGGCAGGGAGGGGGCTGTGAGCAGGAACAGCCCTGGGGAGCTGGGGGGTGGAAGGAGCTGTGTCTTTGGCCCTGTGCTAGGGGCTGGGACACGTCAGTGGCTGTGCAGCCAGGCTGGGCGTTGTGCCCAGGAAGCTCTGCAGGTCGCACTGCACATGAAGGCAGAGGAGGGACAGGAGGAGTAGACACAATAGTGTCTGGATTTACTGCTGTACGTCAGGCCATGACTACACAACCTCCTGCCCCCTGACATGCTGTGAAATGCACGATGCTTGTGAGCTCTGCCATGAGCAATGAACTCCCCTCCCACGGCCACAGTCAGGGGAAAGAAGCAAAACGTTCTAAAAGCAGCTGAGATTGGGACATTGATAGAATCTGAACTTCAGTTACCTTCTTGTACAGGTGGCACAGAACTTCCCAGCCCTGGAAACACAGAATCAGAGATGAGAGCTCATCTGAACAAGTATATTAACAGAAATTAGTGTTGTATAGAGGGAGGCCACTCGTCCGGGATTAAAATGGACATGACTCTGTTTGAGAGGTTTGTCCGCAGTCCAGCATGGGGTCTAAAATGGATGTGATTTTGTCCAGTATTGGATGGGGGACATCACTCCACCCCCTCCATCTCTGAAAAATGGTGTCCCCCATGCGGCATGACCTCACACGCATCATCACACCAATGAGGATGGGGTGGCACAGGGGGGCCCAAACCAATCCCGACAGTCTGGAAATGTCCAGTGTTCTGGGAATGACTGAGTGGCTCCTTATGCGTATAAAATGTTACACTGGGAAAAAAATAAGTTCTAGAGTTCAGCATAAAGTAAACAATCCCCAAATACATGTGTGAGCATTTCTCTGTCAGCGGCTACAATTTTAACAGACTCTTTTTTCCTTAGCAGAATTTGTATCACTTTTATAATTCTTAATAATCATGAATTAGACTTTCCCTTCTGACGCTCTGAAGTGACATTGCAAACCTGCAAACAAAGACCTGGTCCGGCTGCCATTCATGTTGCTGGCCAATCTCCCCTGGAATTCAATGGGAGTAGGCCTGAGGCATGGAGGGGAATTTTGAAAGAGATGGGAGCAGGGCTGCCAACCAAATTGTCAGGCCCCTGGTCTAGGTGGTGGTGGTGGTGACTATGGGCCCCTGTAAGGGGCTGGGCCTCAGGCATAAGGGGCGGGGCTGGAGGATAGTCTCCCTCACCCAGCTCTTCAGTGCTGACCGGCCTGCTGACCGCGACTCTGGTGGTGATTTAAAGGGCCCGGGGCTCCAGCCGCGGTAGCGGTGACTGAGAGCCCCGGGCCCTTTATAATCTCTGGGCCCCAGGGCAGCTGCCCCTTTTGCCTCCCACCCCCACCCATCGGCAGCCCTGGGTGGGAGAAAAGGGTTTTCTTTTGGCTCCTGTGAATATGATATAAAGGCCAGAGGGCAGCTGGGGCATAGGAGAAGATTTTACATTTCCCCTTTCGAGTTGTCCACTGTCTGGAGCAGGTTTTTGTCCCTGCAGACAGTCTACTGGGGTCAGGGGTCGCCCTCCTTAACTAAAGATAGAGAATGAGCATGAACTTGTTGGCTTTGGGAACAATTTTCAAAATCTCCAAAGTGCCTAGGCCCCATTTTCCAAAGGAGCCTGGGAGTCTAAGTCCAGTCTTCTCTCCCCACCACCAAACTCATGTCCATGTCACCCTTCCCCAGTGTACTGACCCTGACCTACTTCTCAGGCTTTTACCTCCTTCACTGACCAATCTGTCCCACCCCAGTCTATGCCGTTCAGTTTAGGAGTTGGGTAGGTGGCTGGCATAGATGTCTCTTTTAGTGCACTGATTCTTAGCACAAGCAGAGGACGAAGAAAACTCTCTGGCAAGCGTGTGGTTTGTGGTGCAAAAATGAGCAAATGCAAATAACGTGTGTTATTCTTTTGCTGTCCTGTTGATTTCCTGTTGGTTCATCTTCCTGTCTGACATTGACAAAGACTCGACTAACTCAGCAGACATATGTTAAAACACAAACACACACACACACACACACACACACACACACACACACACACACACACAGGTTCAGCCTGATGCTGTATCGGCCCCATCACACACTGATTGCAACACAGGCCACACTGCACAACCAGAGCTGCACGAGGAGCTGGAATAACTGAAATTATTCCTACCAGTTCCCAGTGTCTGTACCTGTCATTGCCTGTAAAGCTCCTTTCTCCACTCTCGCTACCCTTCTGTTGTGTTCTCTGGCATATTGTGTCCCTGTGGTTGGGCCATTAGCCAGTGTCCTGTATGTGTATTATGATACAATCGCCAATTACATGATCACACACTGTTTTTGCCACAGGACCCCTGCCTCATTCTTTCACTGCCCAGGATGCACAAGGGGTGAGAAGTAAGGATGCACAAGAGGTGAGAAGTAAGGATGTACAGGCAAGCAGAAAACTGGCATTTCGTAACTACCAAGTGTTTGACATTTCAACCTAAATCATATTCTGTTCGGGGCGGGGAGGGGGTTGTGCAATATATTTGTATCATGTCCCCTCTCGCTCCTCTCTTTTAAAGATAAAAATTCCCAATTATTTCAATCTCTCCTCATACTGATTCTCATTGCCTTTCTCTGAGCCCCCTTTTCTTCTTCAATGCCCTTTCTGAGATGGGGTGAGCGGTACCCAACACAGTGCTCCAGATGAGGCAAAACACTGATTTATATAATGGCTGTATAATATTTCCATGTCATTCACCATCCCATTTTTATGGGTTCTCACATTTTGTTTGATCTTTTGCCCAGAGCTGCACAGTGAGCAGAGGGTTTTGTCAAGCTAGTCACAGTCAGGGCCGACTTTAGGCCAATTCACCCGATTCCCCGGAATCGGGCCCCACGCCTAAGAGGGCCCCACGCCTTAGGCACCTTTTTCATTTTTTTTACTCACCCCGGCAGCGGTCCACTCTCCCAGCTGGAGCTCCGGCTGGAGCGCAGGAGCCCCACGGCCCGCAAGCCCAGCCGGAGCGCTGCAAGTCCCGTGGCCCCACTCTCCCGACTGGAACTCCGGCTGGAGCATGGCAGCTCCACAGCCCCGCAATCCTGGCCAGAGCGCCGCGGCCCCGTGACCCCGGCCGGAGTGCTGCAAGCCCCACGGCCTCCCTCCCCCGACCGGCAATCTGAAGTGCCGCCAAAGACTGGGAGTGCCGCTGGTGAGTACAAGCCCCAGGAATCGGGCCCCACACTTGCTAAAGCCGGCCCTGGTCACAGTGAATTCCTGGTTGCATTACTGAGCTGCTTATACACTTATTTTCAAAGCCTGTAACCTGAACGAGATGTTCAATTTTTTTCCCCTCCACTGTACATGCATTTATCACCAATGCACTTCATTTCCCACATTTCCCTTTCACACAGCTTGGGTGGGTAGGTCCCTCTGAACCTCCTCACAGACTTCACTGGACTTGACGAGCCTGAATAACTTTGCTACCTTTGCGCTACCTCACTTCCCGTCATGTCCTCCTTGTGCACAGTAGGTTGCCAAGTTACTACTAGCAGATGAGGGTTCTGTACCAGATATGGACAGGCCACAGCTCCCATCCTGGAGAGAGATACAAGAGATGTCTTCTGATAAGGGCTAGTCTACACTGGCATTGGTGCAGCTGCAACTTCAACTCACTACAGCAACGGGAGGGGTTCTTCTGTCACTCTAGTTAACCCACCTGCCCGAGCAGTGGTAGCTGTCTACACTGAGGGTTAGGTGAGCTTATTGACGTTGCTTGGGGTGTGCCTGTTTCACACACCTAAGCAAGGTTGCTGGGTAACTTAACTAAGGCCACGTCTCTACTACGAACTTACACTGGTATAACTACATTGCTCAGGGATGTGAAAAATCCACACCTCTGTGGGATGCAGTTAAACTGCTTAACCCCCGGTGCAAGGAGGCCTATGTTGGTGGGAGGGTATCTCCTGCTGACACAGCTACCGCCTCTTGGGGAGGTGGATTAACTGCGCTGATAGGAGCTCTCCCATCGGCACAGGTAGGGCCTTCACTAGGCACTACGGCGGTGCAGGTCTACCCAGCTACGATACTGGAATGCACAGCTAGCTTGGCTGGTACCAGCTCAGGTAAGTGATGTTACAGGCATCGCCACAGCTCAACATTACAATCGTTTTAGCTTTCAATTACACTGCTCGCGCCCCTGGGATTCAAGATTCTTAATAAATAAACTGAACCTAGTCCCTATAAAGTTGAGGAACCCTTGCTGTTAACCTTTGCTATGATAACAGAGAAACTATTTCAATTATTTGATTTCTGTCTCCTAGCAAGTTTTTTTAAACTTGATAATACAATACTTTGTCTTATTCCGTTACCACTTAGTTTCTTAAATAGCCTCTTGTGAGGGACTTCATCAAAAGCCTTTTCAAGGTCTAAATATATGATGTCACCTTATTCTCCTTTACATGCTACATTACTGACATGATCAAAAAGAATCTTAAGAGATGAAAAGTGAGTCACGATTTTCATTTGCAGGAATGTTGCTGGCCAGACACAATCTTACCATGGTCTTCCAGGTGTTTTGAGAGTCTCTTTTGAATGATCATTTATGGCAATTTACCAGGTAAGCTGTAAAACTTCCTGGTGTGTCATCCCCTGGAGCACCCCTAGGTCCCTTGTAATATATAGGTACCATGTTTGCTACCCTACAGTTCTCCAGTACAGCTCCTCCAACAGCTAAGCCCCTCCAGAACTCTTGGATGTGCCAGCTGCGGCTGGTTAATTTTTTCCTTTATAATATTGTTTACTTCCACCGACACCTCACTCTCTGATAGTTCCGTATATAAAGAAATATTTTAGCTTCTGAGCAATATTCTCACCTCTCCTCCCTTCCCTCTCCCCCACCCCCACCAGTCTCTGTCATACTTCCCCGCTGAATATCAGTGGAACGATTGATGGGTGTATTGTTGGTGCCAACCTCAGCCGCAGCCCCCTTCAAGAGGTATCAATCCCCACAGGGCCCACTCCCCAGATCCCCTGTGCCCCCCTCCATTCCTCTCCCACTCCGTAGCCCGAAGCTTACCCCTCCCCATAACACTCCTCTCCTGCCCAAGGAATTCCAGCGCACACTGGCTCTCTCCGGGCCCTTACTGGCTCCCGGGCTCCTCATGCGGCTGGGATTCTGCCGTGTGTTTGGGGGTTGCAGTCAGTGTGGGATGGGGTCTCTGTATCTCTGTGCCTGCTGCATCCACCTGAGCCAATGGGTGTCTGTGTGCAGTGAATGTGCCAAATTACCCCTGCTGGCTGCCATGTGCCGGTGCCATGGCTAGAGCAGCCGTAGCTGTCTGGGCACATGCAGCCCTGTTAGGGCTTCTGAACATTGAAACGAGCAGCCTGGACATTAACCTGGCCCTGGCCCAGCCCTTTGTCCACCTGCCCTCCCTGAGCCTCCAGCCCCATCAGGGCCACTAACAGCATCTCGCTGAGAATTCCGAGTTCCCAGCGTGCACAAAGAATCCCCTTTAGGCGCCCAAAACAGCAGTGTTGGCCACACAAACCTTTGAGCTTTTCCACCTTAGTACAGAGCCGTCCCTGCCCCAAAGAGCTAGTGTAAAATGTTAACTGTGTGAGAAAAAGGGACTGGAAGTCTCAGGGCAGGGAGAGCTTTGGATATCGATGCAAGAGGAGCTGTAGTTACCTGGGCAGACGATGTTTCTTCTCCAGTCTGAAACCAAACACAGAGAGAGGGATGAGAACTCAGCTGAGCAAATGCAGCAACACCAGGGCTCTGGGATGAAGAGCAGCTGGTTTAAGCTGAACCCAGGCAAGAGCAAAGTGATTCAGAAGAAGGAAAACATTTTGAAGAACTAGATGAGACACTTCCCTTCATTTATTGAATTTGTACAGCTCCATTCACCAAAAATGTGCAAAGACTCGGGTCCTATGTGATCCTTCACTAGGTCTACGTGACCAGGTAGCATCAGTGTCTAAACATCCCAGCTCACTAGGAAACTCTGCATCTTCCTGTGGGCAAGGATCTGGCCACAGTGATCCCAGCATCTGCCACCACTGGGCTGGGTTACAATAGATCATTGAATCCACAGCTGAGTGTGAAGGCTCCAGCTGGTACCTAATGCAGCTGCCGGCCTTTCTCCAGGGCTTAGGCCACAGTGACACATCAGGCCCATGTTCCAGTCCCTCCACTGGCTCCCAGTCCCCTTCTGATGCCAGATTAAGGCCTTGGTTTTAACCTGCAAATCAATTAAAGAATCCAGCCCCAGTGGAGACTGTTTGTGAGTCGTCCAGGTAGGAGGCTACAGAGGCAGAGCACTGTATAGGGCACCCAGGTTGCAGGGCGGGGGTGACACAGCTACCCATTAGTCTGGATTGTACCCTGGGTATGTCACAGTGACCCGCTAAATTAAAGCTCACTGGCTACACAGGGGATAGAGATGCCAAAACCCAGTGAAAATCAGAGGGGGTGGGGACAGGTGTTCCTGCCTGATGCTATGAATTCCCCTTCGAGAGCCCAAGGTACCATTGGACCCTCCCCTCCCCTGTGTTTAAAGCCAGAGCTGATTAGACTCCATGGAGAGCCCTTGTTTCAGTTCAGTGATTGCGAGAGCTGAAACCAGTGAGGAGCAGGCCTAGGGGCCAAGTTGTAGACCTAGTGTGGGGACAGGGCTGCAGTGGTGACAGGGATAGCAGCAGCAGCAGCAGCAAGCCAGTTGCAGAGGTGGAGGCAGGAGCGGACCCATTGCTCACACACACACACACACCTCTTTTAGGGGTGGGAGGGCACCTCTGAACTCTGGGTCTTGGCTGATTAAGAACAACCAACTGTGAGTGGGCGGCAGTGGCGAGACAGGGCAATGGTGTGTTACAGGTCATTTGCTCATCAGATTTTCAAATGGCAAGGTGGGAAACTGAGGCAAAGCACACCGCCCAATGTACTGTGGGGTGGGGGTTTGCTTAGGGTTACATGCTTTCAAATCGTGGCTGTGGTGTTTTCCCAAAACAATGCTGGGTTCCCTTTGCCTTGTAATACAAGTTTTATTTTGTTACCAGACTCAGGGTTGGTGAGTGGGAAATTTTGTCTCTTATCCTGTGTCCATACTAGCAGTTTTGTCGGTAAAACTTTTTTCAGACAGGATGTGAAAAAAGCACGCCCCTGACCAACATACGTTTCACTGACAAAAGCACCGGTGTGGACAGTGCTGTGTCGGCGGGAGACACTCTCCCAGTGACGTAGCTACTACCGCTCATTGGGCGTGGTTTAATTATGCTGATGGGAGGTTGGCATACAGCGGCTACACGGGAGACCTGATCGCAGAGCTGTAAGGTCTGTAGTGTAGACATAGCCTTAAAGGAGCCCAGGAGTGGAGTTAAATTATCCCAGATTATTGGGTGGGGTCTCAAGTGTTTTCTAGTTTGTATTGCTAAAAGGAACCCTTGACATTGAACCCGGCCCTTGTTGCTGCTGACTCCACCTGGCAGAAGGGTGAGAGATTGATAGATCCAGAGATAGTTTCAACCCCACGGAAAAGGCTGCATTTGAGAAATAGAAACACTTACCAAGTTCTCGTTGAAAATCATCTAGGTAACACAGAATGAGAAACAAATACACACTAATTAAGTGCTTCTCTTCTAGCATGGAATCAACCCCAGCCTCCCATCAGGCAGCCTGTCCCTCACAAACCCATTGATCCAGGCTATGGGCAGGGAAACCACTGAGGTCTGGGGGAGAAGAGTCTCTTTCCAACCCACAGGCAGGGCACGGAGCACCCGTGAAGTCCCACAGGTGTGGCTACATAGCAATTGAACACCCCCAACTGGCCCATGTCAGCTGACTCAGGCTCACAAGACCTGGGCTGGGCAGCGCCCCAAACAGCCAAAACCAAAAAAAAAAAAAGCCGCGATCGCGATCTAAAAAAAGCCGCGGTCGCGATCTGCGGCGGCAATTCGGCGGGAGGTCCTTCACTCCCAGGCAGAGTGAGGGACTGTCCGCCGAATTGCCGCCGAATACCTGGAACTGCCGCCCCTGTCTGGAATGGCCACCCCAAGCAGCTTGAGAAGCTGGTGCCTGGAGCCGGCCCTGGGGCTGGGGGCCTGTAAAATTGCGGGGTAGAAGTTTGGGCTTGGGCTGGAGCCCGAGCTCTGAGACCCTGTGAGTCCTGAGTCTGTTGACGTGGGTCAGCTGCTCATGTTTAACTGCTGTGTAGACCTACCCTCAGTGGCCACTATACTCACCTTGATTGGATGACTGCAACCCCTGCACAACCCCCTACATGGACTCCACAAAATCCTCTCCCTGATGGCTTCACTCTCATTTCTCTGATGACCTGATACTTGGCATGTGACAACAGTAAAGAATAACAGAGAGTCCCTTTCTTTGTCACTAAACTAAGAATATCACTGTAATGAGGAAAATAGAGTTATCCCTAAAGCTACACGGTCTCTGTCTTCCTTTTTCTCTTGACTTCTCTGCAGAGTTTCTGCCACCTATTGAAATGAACAGCCCCTATATCCTCACACGCAGAGCCTCCCTCAGGCTTTGTCTACACTTACTAGATTAATGCTACTGTATGGTCGCACGCCAGTGCTGGGAGAGAGCTTTCCCAACCCTCTAGGAAAGCCACCTTCCTGAGGGGCATAGCTCCCAGCGCTGGGAACCTGTCTACACTGGCTCTTTACAGTGCTGAAACTTGCTGCGCCGGGGTGTGTGTGTGTGATTTTTCACACCCCTGAGCAAGAGAGTTTCAGCGCAGTAACTTACCAGTGTAGACAAGCCCTCGGTAGTTGCGGATGTTATGCTGAAAGATGCTAATAGCTGCCTTGAGGAGGTCCCTTTGATCCAAAGAGAATCAGAACCCTTGTTAGAGCCAGTGGGTGTGCCAAAACACTCTCTTTGAGGCTCAGCAGGAAGAGCAATTAAACCCCTTTATGTAGTGACAGCCAAACACAATGGAAGCTACTGCCCAAGTCACTGGGCTGCCTGGCAAGGCCATGATAGAGCTAACCCAGGTAGATTAACATGGGTTGTCGAGTTGGCAAATTCAGAGAGAGAGAGAGTTAGTTTGTGTGTGCATTGAAGGCCAGTGATTGGAGTGTAATGGAGGCAGCCAGCCAGAGATTCTTGGGCACAGAGTACACTGGAGGCTCAGATTTGGGGATTTTCTGAGCAAGGAAACTAGCATTTTGTTTAATTTCCCATTACCTATATGCTGAAGTATTATCAACAAGATTTCATATGATTTTCAAGTTGAGGTCTCTTTAGTAATCATCATTATCATCATAAACAATAAAAGAGCAAACAACTTCAAAAAGTTCCATTTGGAGAAAAATCAAAAACTTACTGATTGTGCTAAGCTGTTTCCCTAAGGCCCTGGTATTCACAAGGTCGCCCATGGGCCGCACGTGGCTCGTCAGGGTAAGCTGCTGGTGGGCTGTGAGAATCTGACATTGAGGATCAACAGGCATGGCCACCCGCAGCTCCCACTGGCTGCAGTTCACCGTTCCCGGCCAATGGGAGCGGCAGGAAGTGGCAGCAGGGCTGTGGGAAGCGGCGCGGGCCATGGGGACATGTTGGTTGCCACTTCCTGCAGCTCCCATTGGCCAGGAACGGCAAACTGCAGCCAATGGGAGCTGCAGGCAGCCGTGCCTGCTGACGTTCAATCTCAACAGACTCCTGCGGCCCATCAACGGCTCACCCTGATGAGCTGTAGGTGGCCCCGGGCTGCCTTGTGAATACCAGGACCCTGTGGTAATAAAATAAAGCAATCAGATGCAAATACAAATTGTTTAAGAATATTTTCAGTTATTGCAGATTTAAAGGAATTTTTCGTGATATGAATCCATAGTGCCTAAACATTTCATTCGTATTTTACTAACCTTGGGGCTACCCTAGACTTAACTGTCAAACAGTAACTCTTTTCAAGGGTTTACAATTCTGAAAGTTTTGAATTCCAAATGAAATTAGGGCCAGATTATTCAAGGTCTGTGGATGCCTAGCTCCCATTGTGGGAGTTAGCTGACTAAATACCTTTAAAAATCTGCAGAGACAAGACGGATTTTTAATGGGTTAACTTCTGTTGGTGGGAGAGACAAGCTTTTGAGCTACACAGAGCTCATCTTCAGGTCTGGAAAAGTTACTCCCAGTGACACAGCTAGCGACACAGCTACATACAAGGTGGAACAGATTGTTTAGCATAAGTAGTTAACACATATGCTAAGGGACTATTTAAGGTGGAGTGACCTATCCACACCTCTGTGGTTATAGGACAGAAAAGGGGGGAAGGGGTTTGTGGGTTACAGATTGTTGTAATAAGCCATAAATCATGACTATAGTGTCTAACAGAGTTATGCTGCTTTGAGTTGGTGTGTCTCCAAGCTCATCATCCAAAGCAAACTCCCCAGAGATTTAGACACACCAACTCAAAGCAGCAACAGACTCTGCTAACTACTTTTGCTAAACAATCTGTTCGACCGTGTATTGAGCTGTGACATTCGTAGTATCTTTCCCAGACCTGAAGAGCTCCGTGTAGCTCCAAAGCTTGTCTCTCTCACCAACAGAAGTTGATCCAATAAAAGATCTCACCCCATCCACCATGTACTTCTAATATCCCGGGACCAGTGCGGCTACAGCAACTGAATCCTCTTTCCTAGTATCTCACATATTCCCATTGGCCTTGATGGGCATTTTGGTGGTGCAAAGAGTGGAATTGATGGCTCTCAAATTATCAGTATTACTGTTTTACTGATTTTGCCCCAGATGTGACTTGTGCATTTAGTGTTTGATCCTACACTCACTGAAGTAAATGGGGAAGCTCTAACTCAGGGGTAGGCAACCTATTTTCAGAGCTGATTTTCAGTGGCACTCACACTGCCCGGGTCCTGGCCACCGGTCCGGGGGGCTCTGCATTTTAATTTAATTTTAAATGAAGCTTCTTAAACATTTTAAAAACCTTATTTACTTTACATACAACAATAGTTTAGTTATATATTATAGACTTATAGAAAGAGACCTTCTAAAAACGTTAAAATGTATTACTGGCACGCGAAACCTTAAATTAGAGTGAATAAATGAAGACTTGGCACATCACTTCTGAAAGGTTGCCGACCCCTGCTCTAACTGATGTTAGTGGTGCAGCATCAGGGCTTTCATCTTTTTCTTGCTAAAAAACTCCTCCCAAAAATAAACAAACAAACAAACACTCTTATGAAGAGAGGAATTTGTACAAAAGTTTTATGGGGGAAAGAGCATGACACTTACCAATTTCTGTAACCCCTTCCTCTAAAAAATAAACAGAAATATACATAAATTAATATTAGGAGCCTTTTCTCTTGGTTATATAGTTGTCTGACTTTTGTGAAAGTTGAACAGTGATTGTATAATTCATTGGTCTTTGAGGGGTTTCAATGTTGTCAATACCAAGAGAAAAAGGTTTTCCTTTCTCCATCTCTTATGTGTAGTTTCTCACTGTTGTCAGTACTAAAGTTTAGGCAGAGAGCTCATTTCTGTTCAAACCACTATTTTCTACTGCGTCTAACTTTTTCATATTACCTACTGGGGTGAAATTGATCAAACTTAGTCTCATCCCAATTTCTTTTTTAACATTAAATAAAATCAGAAACTGCTCCCCTAATATAAATCACTCACAATCTTAATGATGATCTAACTTTGTACAAAATATTTACTGTTGGGACAGATGAGGGAAGAACTGTACCAGTGGTCAGGAGGGTGGAGAGGAAGGGGTGGTCTGTGCTGGTAAATGACTGATGCAGATCACTATCCCCTGGAGCAAAGGGGAACCTTAGTAATCTTTCCTTCCCTTTGCTGATGGTGAGATTAAATTCACCAGGCTCAGCCTCAAACCGATTTATTTTTAAAATGAAATGAAATAGCGGCTCCCAAAATAAAATTACGCGTGCTCTGTAGGATCATGCAATTTTGACCAAAATATTTACTTGTCAGATGAGGGGAAAGGACATTTGGGGCACAGAGTCTTCCTCATTTGCCACTTCATGTTGCCTCCAGCACTTGGTGAATTTCAACCACAGAGAAGATACATTTCAAATAATGGTTTATTTATGATTTCCCGTTACCCACATACTGAAGTATTATCAATACATTATCACCTTATTACTGATATTTCATGTGATTTGCAAGTTAATATCTCTTTCATCATCATCATAAATAATAAACCAGCAAACAACTTAATGGAAAAGGTTCTATGTAGAGAAAAATTGAACTTACTGCTATCTTTAAGGTGTTTCCCTAAAGAAATGAAATAAAACAAACAGATGTAAATACAAGTTATTTGAGACTATTTTCATGTAATGCAGTTTTAAAGGAGGCAGTATTTTCATGATATGAATGCCTAGCCTCTAGATAACTAACATTTCATTCATGTTTTACTAACCATGTGGTCACACTAGAGTTAAGTGTCCAACAGTAACTGACTATTTTCAAGGATTTACAATTCTGAAAGTTTTGAATTCCTTATGGAATTAGGGCCCGATATTTCAGGATGTTTAGGAGCCTAACTCCCATTGATTCCAGTGAGAGTTAGCTGACCAAAAATACTTTTAAAAATCTATCCATTAGAGCCCAACCCTGCTTCCTTATATCTCTCACATTCTCATTGGCTTTGCTGGGAGTTCTGGGGGTGCAGACTGGAATTTCTGGCCCTCAAATTATCAGCATTATTGTTTTAGCGATATGACTTGTTCATTCAGTGCTTGATCCTACACTCATTGAAGTCAATGGTGACGTTCATTGAAGTCAATGGTGAAATTCTAACTGATGTTAGTGGTGCAGCATCAGTGTTTTCATCGTCTTCTGGTTAAAAAATGCTATCCAAAAAAACACATAAATAAATAAACAAACAGACACTCTTATGAGGAGAAAAACTTGTACACAAATTTTGCTTGTTGGGTGAGGAGGCTATGGAACATGGGGAGGAGGGTAGGTGGTTATACAGTGGATGCAGTGGGGGTCTGTGCTCTTGCTGACTTTCCTGCAGCTCCAACAGATGCTTCATCATGTCCGTTTGCTCCCCCAACAGATGCTTCATCATGTCTGTTTGCTCCCCCGTTAGCCTCAGCATCGCGTCCTGCCTCCGCTGTTCATGCTCACTTAATTCTTTCCTGGCCTCTGCTACTGAATGCCTCCATGCATTAAGCTGTGCCCTATCAGTGCGGGAGGACTGCATGAGCTTGAAAACATGTCATCGCGAGTGCATTTTTTTCACCTTCTAATCTGCGATAACCTCAGGGACGGAGATGATAGGGGGAGCGTAGAAACATTCTACGCTCTACAATTCTGGGAGGACTGCATGGTCACCTGTGCTGGGGAGTGCTGCCGAGTTCGCCATGCTGACCAAACAGGAAATGAAATTCAAAAGTTCCCAGGGCTTTTCCTGTGTACCTGGCTAGTGCATCGGAGTTCAAAGTGCTGTCCAGAGCGGTCACAATGGAGCACTCTAGGATAGCTCCCGGAGGCCAATACCGTTGATTTGTGTCTGCACTTCCCCAAATTTGACCCACGAAGGTCGGTTTTAGCGCTACTCCCCTCGTCAGGGAGGAGTACAGAAGTCAATTTTAAGAGCCCTTTAGGTCGACGGAACGGGGTTGATTGTGTGGACACAGTAATTTTTAAATCGACCTAACGCAGCTAAATTCGACCTAACCCTGTAGTGTAGACCAAGGCTTACTCATGTAGATGGGTCAAATGAATACCCGAATCTCTGAATTCCCAATATTCATGGACACAGGAAAACATGTGAACAAGTATTTAAAATAATTTCACTGACTCAATGAGAGATGTTGTCCAACACAAGAGCAACTAAGTGTTGAAATCTGACCACTTCATTTAAATTTAAAAACCTCTTATGGTCAATTCATTGGACAGATTTTTTCTCCCCTTTGTTTAAATAAATAAATCAATAACTCCACCGTCACAGTGTCAGAGCAGCAGGGGACCAATGTTCAGCTGTATCTAGAAGTGGTAAATACACAACTTCAACACCACTACCATTATATGGCCTCAGCCAATCAGAAAGCTGCAGCTGATTTTCACTGCACCCCTAAATAACAACCAGTAGTGACCACATCAGAAGACCATATAAATTGGGCAGTTCCACCTTGACCACACCTCCACAAAATGAATGCAGAGAAATTGGAAGACTATTTGTTCAGAAGTTCTTTCCCTCCTAAGAAAGGGCCCCTTTTGGAGTCAATCAAGAATTTATTTTGGGCAAGGAAGTCTCTTGACCATTCTGAAAATGTCTTTAACAAAATGTTGGGAAAGTTGTCTGCATATTTTAGAAAGTGTATGAATGTGGTTGTAGCACAGTATGTTACTCTAAAATAATTCACAAGTTGCTAGTCACAGTTGTTGCAGTAGAAAAGAATAAAACCTGCAGCCCAGACTAAGATAATACAGACAAGAGCTGCTGACCTGCTACCTTCAGTTCCAATAGGGCTTCTTCATAAAAAAAATTATCTTGAACAAAGCAGTGGTATTGTCCTTCATCTGAGCGTCTGATATTAAGAATTTGCAAGGAAACATTCCCATCCGTGATGCCAGCTTTCAAAAGCTCTGTCCTTCCACGATAGTCTGGCATCTGGTTCCCATATTGATCCTTCCCATGCTGATACAGGTGCACAACGGAAGAGAACTCAGCTCGGAACCATTTCACTTCCATGTTCTCAGCGCTCATCCTGGGGGACAGGTGACAGGGTAACACAATGGCCTCACCCATCCTGGCAGTGACAGGGTGACCAGGACCGGTCACTTTGAACTGGGCTATGAAATACACCAAAGCAAAAAGAAAACAAGCTCAGAGGGGGGAAAATGCTATAAACGGAAAGGTCAGTAGGTTCAAACTTTCCAAAAATTTAGCCTGGGGCAGACACCTGGCATGCAAATTTTCAACCTGAATATTTGAAATTTGGCAAAGTTACAAGCAACTGAAAAAGACATTTATAGTAGAGAGTGACAGGCCAGCTCAGGTATAGTGTCACTGATAACTCCCCTTATATTAATTTGATACGCCATAGAGCCATTTCAGCGCCCTGTGAATGGGCAAGCTTGAACTGAGGATATACGCTGTATACCTGAGCTCTGTGATCTGTTCCGGCCTTCTCTATATTTCTGATGTGATTCTGGGTGTTGATTTTAATATGTGAATGGTGAAAAGATGAAAACCTGACTCCACTGAAGTCAACAGAGAACTCGTAGGATTTCACCCCAGTGTTTTGGGACACAGCTTCTTTGGAGACCACCTCTCACCTCGTATGACACAATTTTCTCTGAGAACAGCTGAGGTTCTTGAGTTTTTCTCCTCTGCCCCTCTCCTACTGTTTTTAGTGGGCCTGGGCCTCTGCCAGGACATTTTCAGTAAAAGGTTTTCAACTCTGGGACTCACTTCTTGCCTTGGCCTCACTAAGCCCAAATCCCTTGCGCTACAGGTCAGGCTGCCTTGGTGTTTGACACAGGATTGGGTCAAAGAGGATGTAAGCATGGAACATAGGGTACTCAGATACTATGGTAATGAAAGCCATACAAGTACCTAGATATATAGAGACACTGAGTTGCATTATGTGCAGCGGGTGGAGAATTACTGCTCCTGAAGGGGTGGGGAGGAAGTGGAGACTTATTCTTTACTGAGATTGATCCGTTCTGGAATTTGTTGTAGGGTTTTTTGTTTTGTCTTTTTCAGTTTTGTATAAAGGAATAGAACAGGCATAATTTACAAATCACTACAATGAAACAAATCCTACAAGCAGCAGCAGGACCAATGGGATTCCTACCTGATTCCAGCTTGTGAATGTGAAAAGTAATGAAGAAAATGATCAAACCAGGCAGAGAGGAGCTCACTGCAGAGCTAGGACAGAATGAAAGAACCTTCATCTTCACTATAACTTGATCTGGATAACAGGATGGGGAAGAGAAAAATACTTTATCAAACAGGGTGGATTTGATTTAAATCACTAGTCAGGAAGACTCCATTTAATCCTGGTTTTCTACATAAAAGTGCATTCGTGTTCGTTGTTATAACCTTAATACATATTCTTCACAACACAGAGACAGGTGTAGGTTTCATTTTTAAAAGGTACACACTATACATTTTTAAACAGTGATTTATTTTGAAAACTTTTCAGATTAGTTTCACAGCTATATCAGAAAATGAATGATTGTTTGGTTATTTCATTTACCAAAGGTAATTGAAGCAGATATTTTGAAGTCATTGGGAGGTGAATGATCTCCAATTCAAGAGGTTAATCATTAATAGTTGGAGGATTTTCTTGCCATGCTGTATTAGGAGGAGAACATCACCCGACAGACATTTAAATTGTTTTATTTAACTAAAACAACAACGTTAAGTAGTCTGGATTTTTTTCTTCAACAGCAAACATAGAATACTTTAACAAAACAAGCATATGCATTTTTGAATTTAGTTAAATATTCAAGATTTTTAAAAACAGGTTTGTTTTTGTTAAAATTCTTTTGAACTAAAATAGTTAAATGAAATATTTAAAAAACAAAACAAAAATTAAATTGACTATGTCAGCCAGGTCAACATGAGAAACTTAAAATATAGGCTTCTGCAGTTAACTCAGTCATCTTCACCTTCATTTTCCTGTTTGTTCGTAATCTGGGAAAGAAAAACAAGTTTTCCTGCTTTTTCAGGTCCCAAACGATTTCTCAGTTTGGAATGAATTAGTCCAAAGGAAGAAAATATTCTTTCTACACTGGCAGAAGAAGCTACTGCTGTTAAAAGTGAGATTATCCCTTCAACAGTCTCCGAATCCAAGTGCTTAAGTGACTTCCACCAGTTCACTGGTGTGACTTTCTTTAAAACATCATCAGCAAACATATATTTCTTGAATGGTTCACCCTTAGCTCTGAAGTTTATTATAGCTGGCATTATGGAGGGATGATTGCTGGATGTCCATGTCATAGCCAGCTCCTCTTCTTCAGCAGTTAAGGTTTAACCCTGGTACCGAATACTGAGAATATTTGCAAGAAAATGAGCTGAAGAAAGTGCTTGTCCCATTCATTTTCTAATGCTTGTAATTTAACTCTGTCATTACATATTTCTCTTTTTAAGATCTCACTCAGTTCCTTCCAAATTTCAACAGCATCAGCAATAAAACAGCTATTTCCCTGCATTTTGTTCAAGGCTACAGAAATAGGCTTCAGAGTACTCAGCATGTGTTCAACATTTCTCTTAAGCCCAATGTTGAGAACTTTGGTTGTGACGGTTCCATCTATTTTTTTACGATTTTGTTCACAAACTGTCATCAGATTAGGCCAGTTCTTGATATAGTGCTCAAAACAGTCCACTACTGAGTTCCATCACACGTCTTGTGGTAGTATTAGCTTGATTCCTTCCATTTTTTCAGAGCAGCTGCTGCAAAGTGGTTGTTACAGAAGTATTTTGCAATTTCAAAAAAATGTATTTCTGGAACACTGAAGTCTTTGGCTAGTAGGTGCATCAAACGAGCACTGCAACCATATGTTATTAGCTTGAGACTTTCTTCTAAATTTCTTCTCATCTTGGATACACTTGCAGCATTGTCTGTGACCAAGCTGTGTACTAGACATTTGAATTTTTTTCACGGTTTGTTATAGCTTTTACTGCTACTTCTTGTAAGTATTCTGCTGTGTGTGCATTTCCTGATGTATCAATTGTCTGATTCGGGCTCCAGGTGGCCACTCCCCAGACTCCCACGACCCACGTCTGTGCTGGAAAAGGCCAAATCAGGGGAGAGACCGAGCACCAGATTGGGAACAAGGAGCGCTGCAGGGACAGGCTCCCACTGAACACCTCTCAGACTGCACTAAAGCATGAGAGAGCAGAGCCGTGCCACTGCTAGGGACTGAGAACTGGCATGCTCGGTGCTGACCCTGAGGTGAAGCTCTTAGAACAGGTTGGCTGACAGTGCTGAATGCAGGGCGCTGTCCCCAGCCCTGAAACCAGGGTGAGGGTCTGGAAACAGGTCTGATCACTGCATTGCACACACACACACAGAGTTGAGACTGGAGGGGAGAGCTGAGAACAGACATGCTCAGTGCCTGGCGCAGGGACACAGCGCTGAGTCTGGCAGAGGTGAGACTGAGCAGGGTCAGGTGTGGGGGGGGCGGGGCAGACAACTCCCTTGCTATGGAGGGCAGTGCACACCTTACAGCTGGGCAGGACAAGGGAAGGGAAAGTTGAAGGAGGGGGGAAGGAGGGAGGGAGAGGACACCTGGGTCCTTCCCAAAGGGGATGCAGCTGTCTGGGGAGCCCCGTGCTGTGAGTGTGGTTTCCTCTGCCCCACACCCCCGAATTACCCTGACCCCAGCAGCCAGCCCAGAGCCACACAGCACGGCTGAGCGTGGGGGGGAATCTGTGATCCTCACTGCGGGGCCTCGAGGGAGCCACCACTTTCAGCTGCAGCCGCAGGGCAGAGACGCTCAGTGCGGGGGCCCCGGGGCAGGGCATGGCACTGGGAGTGGGGCTGAGACCGGGCAGGATCAGCGCCCGGCTGCAGGGCACAGCACCCATGGAGATGAACAGGGCAGTGTAGGAGGGGCTCAGAGGTCTGTGCGCTGGGCTGGAGCCTGTCCTGTGTCACTCTCTTGTGTCCCGTGCAGCCGTGCTCCCCACCCCATAGGTCCTGCTCCCCCAGTCGCCCCCTGGGCTGGTTCCAGCTGCCGGTTGGGAGGCAGGCAAGGTCCAGGGCCAGGAACCCCTGGGCAGATGCTGAAGTGTCACTCAGGGGCTTTCCTTCACCTGATTAGCTGCTGTTCTTGCTATTCTGGGCTAAGAGCCAATGACAGGTAGGTGCTATGGGTGCCAGCCCCTCACCTGCCTCCCCCCATCCCTGAGCTGTGCCCAGGCATTGCCTCGGGCTGAGGCTGGCGGAAGCCCCCCAGCGGTGGGCACAGAGTCGGTGCGATCCCTGGCTGCCCGGCTGAAAGGGGCTGTATCCAGGCCCTGGGACTCTGGGGCAGGGGTTCAGGGTGGGGCAGAGCAGAGAAGCTGTCATGGGTCACGTTGGGGCTCCGTGGACAGGGGGAGCCCCCACCTACCTCTCCGTCTGGCCCCCATTGTTGTAGGGAGCCTGCCCAGTTCATCCCCATGGGTGCTCTGAGCCTCTGCCCTGCCCCAGGCCTGCCTCTTGCCCTCTCCTGCCTGTTCTCACTGCCACATTGGTCTGAGCTCAGTGTGCCTGTGCCATGCCCCCAGCATGTCCCATCCCAGCACTGAGCTGAGCCAGCCTGCCTGGTGTTGATGGGCAGGAGTCTAGCCAGCCTGGCCCCGCAGAGGACTGACCCAGCCCAGCCAGGACTCCGGCACCAGCCTGGCTGGGGGCATTTTCAGCCTCATCCTGCATCATTGTCCTGTGCTTCTGACCCCCGCCCCCCCAGCATTGCCCTCCAGCCAGTGCCTGGGATGCACTTGGGCACACAGCTGGATGCCAGGGTAACCATAGGTGGGTTTTTTTAATAACTTCAGCAAAAAATGATTTGGGGGAAGTTTGTTTCTCTGTAAACTTCCTGCCTTTCACCATTAACCCCTCCCCCATCTCTTCCCCTCCCCCTCCCATGTCATTGAGGGAGAGTTGAGACTTCCTCTGCAGGAACTGAAGGAAGCCAACTAAGCAGGGATGGCCTGTTGGGTTGTTTCTAAGATTTTTCCACTTGATATTGTTAACCCTTCTGCCAGGTGGATTTGGCAGCAAGAAGGGCGGGGTTCAATATCCAGGGGTGCCTAGGGTGACCAGATGTCCCGATTTTATAGGGACAGTCCCGATTTTTGGGTCTTTTTCTTATATTGGCTCCTATTACCCC